GCTGGGTGCCCCCTGTTTCACTCTCACTCATGACACATGCTTGGGTCTCAAATCAAAACCCATAACTGCTTCAAATCACTGGCTACTGGTGGATCAATAAGCTGGTGGCTGTTTCCAGCCAGAAAACCTCAAAGGCATTCATTACTGGAGAGGCTGAGGTGCAGAACTCTAACCCTGGGCTTCAGAGAGTGCAAGTGTGGGTATCTCTGGGGCCAGTGCCCTGCCTGTGTCCAGCAGGCCAGGCCGTGCGAAGCTGGTGCTGGGAGCTCTGAGTTGACTTCGGGGCTTCCTGCAAGGGCATCTCCCGATTGTGCAGGATAAGCGCCATGAATAAGGAAGCAGCAGTAACCCAAGAATGTTAGAAACTGGCTCACAGCGTCACCCTAAACCAAGAAGGGGCTCTGTAATGGAGACACTGCAAGCTGCCCTGACCCAGAGGAAGAAAAGCTGTCAAACTTTCCAGGGACTTTGTGGAGCAGTGGGGAGTTTGGGTTCCTTTGTGTCCATAAAGGTGAAACGGCCATCTGTAATTGAAGAGCACAACAACCAGCATTTTCCTTAAAATGTACAAGGCTTAACAATTCAGATCTACAGCTTGATTCTGAGGCTTGCCTGATGCTTAGCTACCCACACTTCATGGGGAGCCTCTTTGTCTGCAGAAGCAATTTCCCCTTGCTTTGTGAAGGGAAATCCCAGGCAATAAATGTCTTGATGAAAGTGTGCAAGAAGATGAAGGGGACTTGGATGTCTTCTTTACTACGCTAATCACCTCTGATAACTAAAATGTTTTAACCAATTGGTTAATCTTGACATGACTGTGATCTACTTATCCACACCCTAATGTTTACAAAGCTCATACAACATGCCAGACGCAGTGCTGACTCTATATCCACTGCCATCAGTTCACGGAAGAACATTTCTTGAAGCCTGTGAGCCAGCTGGATACGTGGTAGACCCCGAGAGACTAAGCTGGAGATAACTGAGCTGTATTTCCTGTTTTATCCTCTGGTCAAGTTCATGGAACTTGATTGCAACTTACTGCAGTGAACTTACATCATAGAAGCCTGAGACTGTTGATACTGAAGAGTTGTAAATGAGGACAGAGGCCACCAAGAAGGGGAAGAGCTACTTGTGAGCAGAAAGCTGTCCAGAAGTTTGGAAGACTATGAGCAGAAACAATTGAGGCTGACCTCCTCAAGGACCCAGAGGGGACACAGGGAAGGGGTGTGGCGCAGAAGCATCCGGGGAGTTGCTGCTGGTGTGTACACACACATCCCCTAGTCAGCGTCGGGATACTGCAGCCTTGACCTTCGGTGGACTCTGTTGCACGTGACTGTAGCCATTTTGAACTGTAACTGCCATGGCCGCACTGAGAAGTCCTGGCTGGTGCCATCTGTCAGATGCAGTTTCCCAGTGAACTATGGATACAAAACCACCGGAGGGGAACATGCAGTTCCTGACCAGACCCTGCAGCAATGTGCCTGACTTTCTGATGTTAGCTTGAAATAAACCAGGTGGGTACACTGAGGCTGGGATGGACTTAATGGGCAGCTGTCTTTTGACCCAAATCACAGGGATCCCACAGGCCTTGCTGGCACCAGGACCGTGTTTCTGCCAGTAAGTCCCCAGTAAAAGTGCAGTCAGTTTTGAGGTCAGCCTGGACTTCACAAGTGACTTAGCAAGACTCTGTCACAAAATAACAAATAAAATGGGTCAGGGATGTAGCTCGGTGTGAAGACCTTGGGTTCCATCCCCAGCCCCACGAGATAGAACAGAGCAAAACAAAACAAAGCAAAGCGCCAGCCTATGCAGTGGGAGCTCTGTCTCCCCTTCTCTTCTGTCTCACCGTGTCTTCAGATCGGTCCCCAACAAAGGGACTGGGCTGCTCTGGAACATATTCCATACCCCACGCTGACTCCAGTTGAATTATAAAGAAGCAGTGGAAAAACTTTCTAGGGTGAAGCATTTTTCTAAAGCATATTAAATGCACAATAATAGTACAGTCAGCTGGGATAGACAAAACAAAGTTTGTGGACATTAGAACTGGACATTGATTTAAGAAATTATTCATACCTAAAGTTCTAAAATCACTGTACTCTAAATAATATATTAAGCTGATAGTCACTTTGTTGTGATCTTTCAGCTGCTCTAATGGATCCAGACAACAAAGTACAGACTTTGAAAAAATATTAGGCCAGCAATGTGGACAATACATTATCCAAAAGAAATGTCAAGCTTTTAATTGTTTAGAGGACTGTAGAAGTAGGACAATCACCCAAGCTCCGGCTCACGCCCTGCCGGGTCACACCCAAAGGCAGGTGATGGCCACGTTCTCAGACAGAGCAGGCAGGAAGTGCTTGAATACCAGTGAAGTGGGCACTTTCAGGATGGCAGTGGCCACTGAAACGAACCACAGCAGGGAGGAAGAGGAGGCTGGGTGCACACCTGTGGTCATCAGCTGGATTCTAACAATGGGCTCAGCTTGACGCCAGCAGAAACAGCATCCGGTACTGCCAAGCAACTCTTCTGATGACTACTCATCACAGTCTGGTTCTGAATGCCCCCCAAAGCTCAGGTGTTGAGGGCTTGCTCCCCACCCCGACACTGCTCCAAGACGAGGCCTACAAAGGTGTCCAGATCATGAGGGTGCAAACCCTGCCAACCAATTCTTCCCTGATGAGTCCCGATCTGAATAGGTTCTTAGGAGGTGAGGCCTGGTTGGAGGAAGCAGATCCCTGGGCTGTTCCTTTGAAGGGAACATTCTGTTCCCAGCACTCTCCTCCTCCTCCTCCTTCCTGGATGCCATGAGGTAAGCAGCTTTCCTCCCCCCGCCCTCCTGATATGATATTTCTGAGCTGGAGCCAGCAGACCATGGACTGAAGCCTCTGAAGTCCTGAGCCCAACCAAACTTTTCTTCCTTTATGTCCTTTCTCTTAGGTGTTTTGTCGCTCTGGTGAAAAGCTGACTAACACCTTCCTTTACTTGATCAGTGCTACCTGCCTCATGCTCAAACCCAATATGTAGGCACCAGTGCTATACCCACTTTACAGACGCAGCTATGGAGGCTGAGTGGGGCTGCACAAGATGTCTACTCACTCATTTTCTCCTCTCTGTCCTTCTCATCTTTAGGGGCAGCTACAAAAAGCCATGACATTTATCGTGTACTTTTCTGCATTTGCCTTGTAAATAAATGCCAACAACAAAAAATACTTGAAATAAAAACACCCACCAATAACAGCTCATCCTTTCCCCTGCGGAGGCAGAGAGAAGGAAAATAAATGAAGCCATCATTCCTTATTGTATGCTGGCATGAATCTTGAGTCCTTTTGGAAGATTACTTGCAGGATAGACAATTCTTATTTTATGTATTTTTATGCATTTATAAGACTCATTTCAGCTGGGCCTTATGCCACGAAGCCCAAGAGAACTGCAATAATTCAAAAGCGAAGATAAATTTTTGAAATAAAACCAGCCTAGTGGTTCTGAAAAATGGGTAAAATGAGAAATCAAACTGGATTCAACAAGACTGGACAATCCACAAAGGAAAGTCTACAGACAGCTGGCTATTTCAGACTGTAAAAGCGATTCTCCAGACGAGAACTATGAGGCCACCGTGGGCTGGATTCAGTCTGGAGGTTTGTTTTACTTGTGCTGTGCAGTGGTTTGCAAATACCAGAGCCAACACTGAAAGCTACAAGTTTCCATATAAAACCAAGATTTCCTGCCTTTCTTAAAAACACAAGCTCAGAGGAGGCCTCCATTTCCACCTGAGGTCAGCTAGCAGGACCCTGTCGGTCTTTTTCCTTTAGAGAATCCATCCCTGAACTCTTAGACTGCCCCTGACCTCCTCACCCACTGCCCCTGCTGGGATTCTTCCTCCTGTGCATTATCCACCAGTCCGCAGCAGCTGTGCCCATGCAGCTCACTTGCGATCTGGGACTATCTGCACCTGGCCACGCTGAAGATCAATTGCTCCTGACCCCCATTTACCAGTTCTTGTCCCCCGAGCTTCCCAGGGAAGCCAAGCTCTGGGTGAGACCTCCAGCCTCTTTGAAGCCCTCACCGGGATGGGCTGATGGCACAGTCCACCTTTGTAACATTCTTCTCACCAAGCAGGGGCATGTTCTTCTTGGGGACCCAGAACCTTGAGCCTTGTGACTGCTTGGCAATAGGATATGGCGGGCATGGTGCTGGCTCAGGGCTGAGTCTGGATGTGGGCTGAGTGTGTCCCCAAGGATGTGTGTGTTGAAAGCTTGTTTCTTGGTGTGGTCATGTTAGGAAGTGCAGGCTTTGATGAGGTGGGGCCTCGTTGGAGGCCACTGGGTCTGGGAGGTGCTTCCCCTGGAGTGGATTAAAGTGGCTCCCATGAAACTCTGAGTTCCTTTACTCCAATAAACTCCCCGCTCTGGCTTCCTGTCGCACTGTGTTACAACTTCCTCCCTATGTGTGCTTACCGTAACTCTCTACATCATGAGGTCCTCAGTAGAGCTGAGCTGATACCAGCTCCATGCGCTGAACTCCAGACCAGGGAGCCACATAAACCTCTTTCTCTGTAAAGTACCCACACTCAATATTTTGATACAGTAATGGAGAACTGACTGACACAGTCAGTTTCCAGGTCAGCCTCAAGAAACTTAATATTTCCACTCTGTCTCTTGACCCACTTGCTCTTAGAACTCAGTCACCCTAATATGAAGACACTCCAGTCACTTTGCAGACAGACTTCCATGGGAGAGCACCACCCACAGCGACTTCGCCAGGCGAGCGAGACACCCTGGATGTGGATTTGAACCCCTCTCAACTCACGGTCCTCTCTGGGCTCTGACCACATCTCAGATGCATGAGCAAAATAAATGACTGCTATTGTCTGTAGTCAGTAAGGAGCTGATTTATTACACAGAACCCTTGCTGGGTCTGAAGACCAAGAAAACTATCTGAACAGATGAGTGTGAACCGGGAAATGACGGGCCCCAAGCGACGGTCCCCGTGAACCCCCTCACCTGGCCGATGTGCCTTTGGAACTGCCATGTTCATCACTCGTCCTCCATCCTGAGGTTTGGGGGGAGAGGCCGTGAACCTGCAGATCCCTGATTCAGAAGGGGTGCTGGAGGTCAGACTGTCCGTGTACTCATTTGTCCCTGCCGTCAACTGCTCGGATGACGTGTCTGAGATGAAGCACTCGGTGATGGTGAACTTGGCGTGCCTCAGCTGCTCTTCCATCTTGGCGTGCTCGTAGGCCCGGGCCAGCTCTTCGTAGGTGGAGGAGGCACTTTCTGTGGAGACCATGCTGCTCCGCGCTCGATCTGCACCAGGAAGAGAGGAGGAAGGTGGGTGACTCAGCTCCAGCCTAAGTTGGAAGCCCCTGGATGCCTTCCCTGCTCCGCCCCCTTCCCAGTCCCTGTCTCATCTGGCAGCAGTCCTGTCACTCAGAGGCTAATTGCAGAAGCCTCTGCAAATTCAGCTCGGGGAACCCTGGTTTCAGTGGAATCACGGCAGTTGGATGTCCCAGCCTCGGACATTTCCATGAATAAGTCATGTATCCCCTGAGAGGAATTCTGCTTCCAGTGCAAAGAACTGGAAATGTGGAGCCAAGCTGCTGCAGCACCCCACCCCCACTGGCAAATCGATCTGCACCGCAGAGACATTTTAATTGGCAGGGATGGGGGAGCTCTGCTCTGCAGCTCTGCGGGCCTCTGCTTGGGAAGGAGGACGTGAGAATGCTTTGAAATGAAGATGTGCTTTGCAGGGAAGCTGGACACTGGGCAGAAGGGTTCCCAGCCCCTGGCGCTCATCTTTTCCTACCGTACCCTTTCTAGGGACTAGAAAACAGCCAGGACAAAAACCGGTGCCAATGTGCCCTTCAGGGAGGCCACGGCATCTTGGTCAGAAAAATCCCTGTGTTTTAAACCAACTGAAAAGTTTTGAAGTGACCTGTTTGGAACTCTGAGACTGTAGAAGGAATAACAGACACAAAAATAAATCCCCACGGTGAGGCTCCACCTTTGGAAGGCTGTTTTTGAAGGATATCACCAAGATTAAATGAAAAGTGAGTATTAAAATTTCCTACAGCAATTAGGTTCAGATATAATTTCTCTTCAGAATTTAAGGAGGGGCGGTGGGCAACACAGCACTATTCTTAGGCCCTGTCTTCTCTCCTGAGCCTGAGGCTGTGGACCAGATGACTTACCTCATCACTAACCCTGGCTCAGTTTGGGACCAGCCCATGCTCCCCACAGAGGCTGCTGTGACCTCGCAAACAAGGCCAAGAGCGCCACCTTCATCCCAGAGGTGGGGCGGGTCACACGCCCCCATCGTGTGCTCAGCAGTCACGGCACTCGTGTGGGAGAGGCTGAAGAACATCCCTCTTTCTGCAGCGGGGTGAGAGGGAAAGGCCGGGCGCTGTCCCCTGAGCCGCACCTGTGTCTTGGGAGGGGCTGACACTGTAGCTGTCACTCTCCTTGTCCACGGAGCCCGTGGCCCTGGGCGTGGGCAGCCTCCAGTCCGTGGTGAGGGTGTGCGCGGAGATGGTGGGGTGGGGTCGGTTGAGGGTCCACTGGCTGGCGTAGCGATTCCGGGCGGTGGGCCCCGCCTTTGCATTCCTCCGGGTAGTGGGATCTGTGAAGAGCCAGGCAGGCACAACGTCTGTCACAGTCTTCAGGAGAAAGCGGTCAGCTGGGGTCAGGGGTACGGGGCAGTTGTCCCCACTCAGCCCTCCCTGCCACCCACGCCTCCTGGGAAGTACCCTTGGCCTTTCCTGTGCAGAGCACTCTGCCCCGGCTCTGAGGCCTGTCACACTTATCAGTACTTACGCAGGGAGGAAGCCCCTTGGGGGAAGAATGCATAGCTGAGTGCAGATGCTGTAGCTCTGGGCCTTGCTGTGGCCCTTAGTTATTCTGTTACCTGATGCACATTCATTTAAGCTTCTGAGGATCAGCGTCTTCTGTGAGTTTCAAGAGAGCTTGGCCAAAGGTGCTCAAACGTAGATTCCTTCCTAAAGTGTTGTTACGGGGTGAAATATGTTTCCCTGGCAGTATGTTCCTATCCCAAGCTGGGTCACGCAGAATGAGATCTGGAAAGTCCCATGGATGTCCCTGCTTAGGATGAGGTCATGCTGGAGCAGCGTGGCCTGAGTCTAGTATGACTGGTGCCCTAAGCAGCAGCAGATAGAGGAGGGAATGCGCCACGCCAGGGTGGAAGAGACATGGAAGCACTCAGCTTGGAGCAGAGGATGGCCAGGGGTCGCAGGTTTCAGACAGGGGCAAACCTTGATTTTGGACTTCCAGCTTCTGGAGCTGGAGACCATAACTCTCTCTTCTCTCCAGCCACCCAGGCTGTGGTGCCCTGTTGCCACAGCCCTCAGAGCTGAGCGCAGTACTGAGGCCTCCAGTTATTGCTGTCTTGGGTATACTACTTGCTTCAGCTGTTACCCAGGTGCTGAGCCCTTCACAGAGCGGAGCCTGTCTCTGTCACGGAGCTATCTATGCAATGGCAGAGATGCCTTGGTTTATGGAGCATGGAGATCAGAGGGATAGATGGCCTTTGGGTGTCACATGCTTGCCATCCCTCAAACACAGAGGTCTGTGTGCAGAAGGCTGCTGCTGGGCAGATTTTGTTTTCTCTGAATTTGGCAGCTAAGGTAGCAAGGGGGTGGAGTGGACTGAATTTGACTCTAGAGAGCTGAGAACAGGAACTTCTGGCCGCAAAGAATTTGGGAGCCTAGAGTGGGCCATGAGGCTGCCATTTTGGAATTGTGCAGAAAAGATGGTCAGGCTCGTGACCTGGAAGATGTTTCGAGGCCCCAGCCTGAAGGTTGTCTATGGTCCCACACGAGTCTTGCCCCTTGTGAATTCTCTCCTTCTCAAAAAGGAAGCTGTGCAGTTACATTTCAACATGGTCGGGCCTCTTCCAAACGCAGCAGGCTCTTCATGCTCAGCGTGAATGCAGCGACTTCAAAGGAGCAAAATCTAGAGGGACACGGCTGTGACAGGGCCGAGCTGGCTTAGCTACCTGCTGCCAGGAGCAGGGTTCACAGATGCAGCCGCAGAGCCTACAGGCATCTCCGGAACCCAGCGTTTCCGGAAGGAATTCCTATAGCCTTAGGTCCCTTTATCCATGAGCAATGGATGACAAGTGACACAACTGCAAGGTGACGACAGTGGCGTCCAACACCAGCTTCTGCCTTTTGGTTCACGTGCTGCCTGCTGCTTGGCCGTTGAAGGTTTGTACTGCGCAGTCTGTGTAACCACGGCTCGTTTACGGCTCAAGCTGGAGCATGAACGCGGGGGAGCGGCAAAGTGACTTTCTGTGCAGACGGAAGATTCTCCTCTTTGAAAGTTTCTGGGTATTGGACTTTGAACCAATCCATCATCCTACCATGCTGCAGAGGAACCTGAAGAGGGCCCCAAATCGATACCTTCTGAGATTTCTTAGGTCATCAAAATACTCAGTCTTGTGCATACTGTCCAGGGCATCGATTTTTAGACACATTTCATCCTTTACTTGCAAAATTCCATGGAAGATTTTATTGGAAGGTATTTTTTTGGCCTTGATTAGAATGCAAATGAGCTATGCCCGAGTGCAGAGTGCCTCTGTCCTGTGCAAGGTGTGAATGATAATTGTGTTTCCCCTCTGAAATGCTGGGAAAGAGGTCCTCCGCGGGGCAGAAAGACACTGTCAGGGGCAGGAGGCTAAGTGTCTTCCAGGCACTATCGAGTTGATAAGTGAAGCTGAAATAAGTGCAGCTTGTTATTTAAATGCTAATGAGTCTTTTCCAGAAAATTACCCAGCCCTTTGCATAAGTTTTGAGGAGTTTCATTTTTATTCTTCTTTAAGATTCTTGCAGCTATAGCTGTAGATCATTCTGAGCCTGTCTTCTCCTGGCCTGGCTGTGGGGCGCAGCTGGATGGCCCCACAAGGACTTCCTCCAACCCCTTGCCCTCACCTGAGTGTCCTTCCCTTGAGGTCCTCTCTATGGGCAGGACACAGGTTCCCGGACCCATGGTCCCCTCCTCCCTGAGATGGCCCTAAGTGGAAAATTCCACCAGAAAGTCACGCATGAGTCAGCCCCTATGTAAAGCCATGACCCTTTTCAAGTTAATTTTGTGCATTATTCTTTTTTTCCTAGATGAGTACAGTGTTACGAGTGGCCTGATAATGTTGAAAATATAGGTCATGTTATTAATTTCCTGAACTACAGCCTGCAGCTCTGTTCTGCATAAGTTCGACATTCTAGAGTCCAAATTGTCTCAGTATGAGGGTACTTGACACATTTTTTTTTTAAAATCAGGTTTCTGGAGCCACGGTTTTATACCTGAAGTGAACTCTGTATGATAGCTTCTGAGACAGCAGCTCAACTAAAATTTTAACTTGGGTTCCACACAGTGGCGTCTTTTGTATAACTTGCTAGCTCTTCATTCAAGCAAATACATGTTGGGATTTAGTTTTCCTGCATGGAAAGCATATTGTGAGGGTCCCCAACTTTCCAATATAAATGAAACATGGCAACTGAATATCAGGTTTGCTAAGCAGCCAGTGAGTGAGAGGGTGAGTGGTAAAAATAGCTCTCGGCCATTCCACGGCATGTCTAAACCTGCATTGCTTTTGCCCATTGAATCAATTATTTTAATTATCCAGAAGTCAGGATGAGAGAGGATTTTGTGGGTAATAGGGTTACAGAACATGTCCTGTGTCCTGTGATCAATGTAGTAATCTGTTTTAATCCCCGACTGTTGGTTTCCATGCCTCCGCTTTACATGAATTGACCAGCTGCCACATCAACAGCATGCATCTGGGAGATGAGAATGCCCCCTCACTGAACTAACAAATACTGATCAAGGGCTCATTGCAGGCTGTGCCACTGGACACACTGTAGCCACCCGGTATTCAGGAGTTTCCTCTGATGCTGCTTCTAGGACTGCTCTGGGTGAGAGTGTGACTCAAATTCTTAATGATATAGATATAATCCATGCTTTAAATTTCTTTTGTGTGTGTGTGTACAAAGCCCCTTATGTAAAGCGGCACCGTGTTTACATATAACCTGCATGCATCCTCCATAGACTTTAAATCATCTCTAGATCCCTAGTACAATGTAAACAGTCATACTGTGTTGTTTAGGGACTAATCCTCTTTTGATTGGATGCACAGGTACAAATCCTACAGATCTGGAAGGTTGCCTGTGCAGACACACATCCACACACCCACCCATACACACACCCACACACACCCACCCACCCACCCCCCCCCACACACACACAGGCTGTGTGTGGTTAAGGGCTGGGCTTTGGAGTGAGGCAGCTGGGTGTGAAGTGGTTTCATCCTTCACTCGCTGTATAACTCTGGCCAAAGGACTTAGCGGGTGGGCCTGTCCCCTTCTCCTCTGCGGCTGGGGACATCCCTGCCTCCTTTAGACTTGAATGACCTGGACCTGGCAGGCCGCCTGGCACAGGGAACGCTTCAGGACACCATGGGGTCTCAGCCGCGAAGCTTGAGCAGCCGGTGCCAGGCCAGGCACAGAGCAGGCCCTGAACTAACTGGGAAGACGGCAGTAAGAGAGCTGGTGGGCTGATAAAGAAGCCTGAAAAGTCAGTGTAGAGGGGATGGGCTGGTTAGGAAGGATCCAAACTCAGTTTAGAGGGTGGACAGAAAAATAACCATTAAAAATGGCAAAGCCATTGCGAGAGAATGCTGTGCTCAGAGGAGGCGCACGGTACACGGTAGAGGAGCAGGACGAGAGCTGCGTGCTGCCCGTGTCCCGGCCCGGCACGGACGTGCTTCCTCTCCTCCGTGCCCAGTGGCTCTGCACCTGAGGTTCCGCCAACCGCAGCTCAAAAATCTCCAGAAAAATGTGTCTGTACCAACCGCATGGAGACTTCCTTGCCATCATTCCCTGGCCGATGCAGGGACTGCACACAGCATTTGCCTCGCCTTGGGTACTGTAAGCAATTTACACGTGATTTAAAGCAGCCGGGAGGGTGTGTGCAGGACAGCCTTGTGGCCTTGAGGGACAACTGTATGGCGAGCGCTTGGCCGACGACGCTCTCTACCATGCATAAGTGAACGCAGGAACGATTTCCAGGTAAACACGACGAAAAGAGAGTCACAAACACTCGTCATTTCCCATCTCCTTATACTCCTGCCTATTTTGCAAGCAGAAAAAACTGATCTAAAATGTCCTCAGCATGATCTTGTCGGCAAATCTCTACAAACACGCGGGGAAGGAATTCTGAACCTGCCAGAAGAGAAGCCCGTGGCTGGGTGAGGACGTCATGTCCCCTCTGAGCAGAGAGCTTAGGGGGTGGACAAGATAGGGAGAGAACTAAGTTGGTTTCTCAAGTCCTAATGAGGCTACTGCGTGTCCTTCCTTCCCCTTCCTCGTATTCTGGCTTCAGAACCTGACTGGTATTTAAGTTACTGCCCAGGTGCCTGCTCTGTATCAGCCACCGTGGCTGGTGTGGGGACGAGAGCTTGACTGAAACCCCAATTTCCAGTGCACTCTAACCCACCAGAGACAGGGAGGTGAGCTGCATCAAAGACACGGCTGAGAACTGTGTTTTTACTGAAAGAGATAAATAGCAAACTGTTGCCTCATAATCTCTCATCCTCGTAATAAGAGTTTGTCGCAGCTCTCTGGCAAGCACATCTAATGTTTAGAAATATAGCTTTTGCAAAGCACTCATTTTGCTGTGCAAATGACATATTTTAGATGCCTTTCTTAAAAATAAAGAATTCCTGCAAGGGCAACACAGTCCCAGTGTTCTTTCTTTCGTAAAGAAAATAGGGAATATGGAACCTTCCTCCATATCCATGGGGATGGGTCCAGGGCTCCCCTCAGATGCCAAAATCTGATAATTCTCAAATTCCTTTTAGCAAATACAGCAGTGTTTGCATACACCCTGTATATATACTCGCCTCTACACCTTGAATAATCTCTAGATTTTTAACAATACCTAATGCAATGTCAACGCTATGTAAGCAGTTGCAGTTCTGCATTATTTAGGGAATAATGACAAGGAAAATGTCTGTTCATGTTCTGAACAGGTGAAATTAGTTTTCCTAGGTATTTCTGCCTTGCGTTTGGTTGAGTCCACTCACACAGGATCCGAGGGTGTGGAGGGCTGTGAGCATAAATGAATCTCCGAATATAACCAAACTGCAGAAAGCAGGCCTGCTCTGCTGGGCTGAGCTACCAAAGGGGAGAGCCCTGGTTAGTATGGACAAGCTCCGGGCACAGAAGCAAGCAGAGAACTGCACTTCTGAAAGCTCATGGGTTTTCAGCTTCTAACTCTGCCACAGGGCCAATCACTGACCATTGCAACTCTAAATAAAACTGGGGTGTGGGATAGTTCACCACAAGAAGAATGATCCTAACAATTTCTTCGTGGTACAGAGTGTTCTGCAGAACAAAGTAAATGAATAATTCCATCTCCAGGAAGGGAGAGAGCCAGACTGGTGGTGGGTCACTCTGAGGAGGCTGACCTGGTGTAAGTTGACATCGTTTCATGGAACTCATCACAAGAGAGAGGAACTTCGTTCTGAAGCTGCAGGGTTTCCTTGGGGTAGAAGGCTGGACCCAGAACTCTCAGGACACAGTGCCAATGCCCAGCCTCGCCTGGGGCTGATAGGTTGGCACAGTGGTTTCTCCTTTGGCCTTCCTCTCACTGCTGTCCTAGTGACTCACCACACCCCAGGGCTGCTTCTGTCCAGCGCCCTGGAGACCCCTGGAGCTTCCTGTGTGCTGTGTCTGACCTGGGGTCTGGCCTTCTCTGGGGAGGTCTGCCCAGAGGACCAGATCCACAGCAGCCCTGCCTGTTGCCCAGTCCCCACTGGCCCCATCACTTCGTTCTGCTCCATTTTCATCTAGTTCTTACTGAGAAGCAAAATTATATGTGATATCTTGTTTAACATGGGACTTTGCCACTAGAATGAAATGAATGTCTTTTTGCATTTCACTCACAGCGCACTCCTCACTGAGCACTGAGCCATGTATGCAGAGGAAGAGACCTGAGTAAATATGTTTGACTGCTGAATGAATGAATCCTTACACCTCCCAGCAATGCCAAGCAGCTTCATAGCCAGGAGATGCACGTCCCTCCCAGGCGCTTCCTGCCTTTAGCTCCTCTTCCGCTGGTTTACAGCTTCTGGGTCTGACTCATATCTGTGTCAATGCTGATATTTTAAATGCCATCAAAGCCACTTCTCATTATTCCAGAGCTTCCTATTCACACACCTGGAAGGCCTCAGAGCTTCCCTGCCACGTCCTCTTCTTCAGGCCTATTTAAAATGAGCCTCTGTATGGCTCTCTCCTCAATGAACATTGGAGGAAAGGTGAATACAAGTGGTGAATACAAAGGCTGGCAGAAGGAACTGATGTGCTGTGGGTCTGGCAGGCTGGGGGGAATCCTTTGCTGTTGCACTAATGGAAGTCAGGGATGAGGGCATGGTGGACACTTCCTCCTGAGCTGTCAGTACATCTTTGGCACACTTGGGCAGGTGTTTCTCCATGAAGAGTCCACAGAAGCACATCAGGGAGGTTGTTCACAGTGCAGATTCCTGGGCCCTGTTCTAAACCAACTGGATCAGAATCCTTAGGATGGAACTCAGGAGTCAGTATGTTAAACACATGCAAAAAATGGGAAACACTTCCAGGGGTACCAGCTCTTTTTTCCTGTTTTCCAATCTCCTGCTACTGTTTCCAAAGGTTTCCACACTGAGTAGGTCAAAGGACACCAAAGGCCAGGATGCATCAATCTAGAAGACCTTTCCCCTGAGTTAATAGTAAAACTGGTTCAGAAACCCATCACAGCTATGTCCTGAAGTAGCCGGAAGCCAGACCAGGCTAGTCACAGTGTTGCAGTCAGTGGCTGGAGAGAGATGCCACAGGCCTAGAAGCCTTGTTGAGGTGCAGGGGCTGCAGACATACCCTTTGGCAGAGCTGGCTTGCAGACATGCCAACTTGATGTTCTCCAGGAGGGAAGGGGTAAGGTTAGACAAGAGGGAAGTGTGTTCTTCGAGACCCTTTCCCAAAGGAAGGTCAGTAGTTGTGAAACTCTTTCTTGTGTGTCACAGCGTTATTTGGGAAACAGCTCCTTCCCTCCATGAACCTCACCCTGTTTCACAACTGCTTCACCCATTAGAACTGTGAAGAGTGGCCTTCAGTGTTGTATTTATTTTTCTAATTGTAACATAGTACTCTAAGAATGTAAATTTTTGCAGCATGTGTAGAGATTTAAAAGCTAGACATCAAAGCTTCCAAAATGATAATAATCGAAACATCAATTTCTCAGTGTTTAAAGAGGAACAGTTTCAATTATGAAGAAACAACATATCTAATTAATAAGCTCAAGATACATATTAGGAGATTTAATTTCATTCCAGTAATTAATTTGCATATATTATGGATGCAAATATAATACTTAAACACAACAGACTGTCCAGATTAGCCAGAACTAGAATTTTCTCAGTGCTCAGGAGGAAAGCTTCACACTCTAAGGACACACAAATCCTACCGCTGAATCTTGGTGTCCCTGCTTTTATGTGTCAACCTTGGGCTCTTTGCTGACTTCCTGAAACTTCATTTTCTTAGTTGGTAAAAGGGAATTACAACGGCTACTTTGTGAATGGGTGTCATGCAGGGTTGTCATAAAAATAACACCTATGACACCATCTTTCTCTTCCCAAGGCGGAATGTTAATTTCCTTCTCCTTTTGCTGTGTTGCTGAAATTAAAAAAAATTAAATTGCCATGAAATTTCTAGCACTTTTCCTACTAAATCATTACCAAGAGTGATTGGCTTCAATTGACACCCTTCTAATAGTGCAAGGCTCAAACAGCGAAAGCAGAATCTCCCCCCAGTGAGAGACATCATTAGATCTATTTGTCTCGTAGGCCCAGAGTTGAAGAGTCCCCCATGTTCCCTGGACAGGGACACAGTGTAATGTTTCCAGCACTGACCACACCCGCCCTTTGTAACTGGAGTTGTCCACTCACTCGTTCCTGGCCGAGCGTCTGAAACGTCCACCAAGGGCCCAGTGGCCTGAGACACCGACTGGTAGTGGACCGTGTGAGTCACCGTCAGGGACTTTTGTTTAGCTGCTTCTCCAAAATCAGCGTCCGTCAGCAGCACCGTGGAGCGATCATCTGAAGAGGGGAGCACAGAAAGCCAATTCTTTTATCCACTTTCGGGCACACCCTGGCTTTTGCTCCTCTCAGGCAACAGTGACAGCAATAACAATGCCCTCGTGGGAAGCTGCGAGGTGGCTCAACTCCCAGCGCTTGTGAGGGTCACTCATATTTAAACAGGGTGCTGTGCCTGGGGGTGGACTTCCGAGCACCCGGTTCAGAGAATAGTCAAGATGTCCAGAAGGGCCTTGCTGCTCTCTCTGGGTTTGCTTGCTTTTCAGTAAGCAAACATTTGTTGTAGCTACCGATTTAACAAACTTTGGGATTCAGGTGTTTGCGAAAGCTCCCCTGAGAAAGATCAAGGTGTCACCAGCCATGCCAGACCCCTCCCCCAAGGGCAGGGCTGCTTCCCCTGGTCGCTCTGGCTGCCCGGGAGCTCTGCTCTAGAAGGACCACCCTGCAGTTCTCTCCTGGGCTGGGCTCTGATGCTGATCTTGCAAATGTTTGGAGGGGAATCGCGAAAGGAGAGCAGATAGTTTTCAGAGATGGTAGATTCCTCCGCTTTCTGAGGAATGTTCCTTTTCTCCCCACCTCTTCTGAGCTCTGATTACTCGAGTGCCTGCTTTAATCCAAAAGTGACCCACTTGTCAGGCTGCCAGTGTCCGTGGGCACCGGAAGGCCGGAGGAGCAGCAGGAGCCTGGCTCCCAGGCACGCTGCCCACCTCAGTGCCAGCAGAAGGTGCAGGCCTCTGAGCTGTGGGTCATTACTGTGTCGTCTTAGGATTTGAATTACATTTTTTGCGATACTTTCTGTACTTTCTTAAGAGCCTTTTTACCCCCAGGGAAACTCTGGTCAGGATGTGCAGATTCCCCATCCGTTTTCAAGGGCTGCAGCCCGGGTGATGTTCGTGTGAGGTTAGCTGTCGCTGGGGCAGACGGCGGCACGCCCAACGCCGGAACAGGGCTGTGAAAGCCATAAGCAGTGCGGTGAGATTGCTGTGCCCAAAAAAGCCCTGAACACAGTGAACCTTACGAAATCCAGTCACTCGGGCTCCGGTGGAAAGGGAAGCCTCTTGAAGTCAGAATCAAATTTCTTGGCAGAGAAGCACAGGAAAGGCTGCCAAGGAGTCTGCGAGCACCCCGCAGGTGCTGGTAGGCAGGCTGGTGCCACAGCAGGTGCCAGGGATGGGTGTGGAGCCCTGAGCCCACAGTGGCCCCCTGAACCCCGTAAAAGTCTGGCCTTGGTACAGAGACACTTCCTTACAACCGGGGCTGCCCCCTAGGGCCACCCAATGACGTTGGTTTTTCATTAATGACACCACGGGTGAGTGGCGGGGTCTGACTGCAGCCCCTTAGGAGCATGGCAGGTGGTTCCAGGCCTCAAGTGGGACGCTCAGAACTGCCTGAGCACGAGGTTAACCACACTTTCCGGCCAGAAATTAATGGCAGACTGATATTGGGTCCTTGTAGTTGGAGCACACAGCGTGTTAAAGAACTGCATCTCCACTTTCCCAACAATGAGAATACGCCATGGACTCACTGCCTGGCGTCACCGGGAGGGAGACTACTCACTGAGGGGTACGCGGGCACGGATGGGTGAATCTGTGGCACCTGGCTCTCCAAACCCAGAACAAGCGACTGGCGCTCTCCATGGTGCTAACCCAGCACGGACCCGCTGGGGCAGCCGGCACGGCTCAGGGCACCCATCCACACTGCAGGGGCTATGAGGTCAGAGCGGCCACTGGTGGGGCCGGCGAGGGGTGAGGGCGGGGAGGACATGCTGCCCACCTGGCCTCTCACCACTCTCTTCCTGGCAAGAGTCAAACAGTTGTATCCAGACCACAGGAAAGGGCCACTCCGGTGCCTGGGGCCAGCACGCTCTTTCCAAAACAAACATGTTTTGGCAAGAGGCAGCCTCAGATCTTGCCTTGATCTGTTTCCATGGCTTGTGGAAAGCTTGGCGGGACTTCTAAGCTGAGGCTTCTTGGAAGCAGCCTGTTGGTGGTGACGCAGGTGGCCAGGCGGGGACCCTGGCCATGCTCCTGCCTCTGCACCTGAGCCAACGGTGTAAACCTGGCCGAATCTCATTACAAAAGTGGCAGCAGGTTGGAGGAGGGACTAAGTGATGCGTGTAGAGTCCATGAAAGCGGGGTGGGTGCCTCAAGAGCTCTCTGGGGAGGGCAGTTGTCCTTCTTGTGGTTATTGGGTGGGAAGACACTCAGAATCAAGATGGCTGGCTCGGGGTGGGAATCCACGCAGCTTTGTGGGGGCCGCTGTGGGGGCTAGGTGTTTCCCAAGTCCAGGTGTTTAGGGGCACCGGGAAGTGGGGCACCTTGGGGGAAAGGCTGGCCTTATCAGAGCCAGAGAGGAAAGCAAGCAGAGAATGGATTTCCAGGACAGGGCTCCCAGGTGCCAGCTTCCAGCTTGATCTGATTATAGATGTCTGCTCCTTGGGGCAGTAGGGATAACCTGCCCAGGAGAGACCCAAAGGGATCAGAAGTGAGAACTCCCACCCCAGGTGACACTAAGATGTTCGGAGGGTAATTTGCCTCCTCATTTACTAATGTGCATTCCCTGAGACTTCTATGCTCACAGAGTGTTCATGATATTCCATCTAGCGTCTTCTTTGGGTGAGAAGGCATGGCTGTCCCAGCCATATTGTGTAAAGTGGCGACCGGGGTGCCTTACCGATGGTCTCCATTGTGTCTCTCTCTTCGATCAAAAGCTGCGCCCTGGGTATGTCGATGTGCATTCTCAGAGTCTGTTGTTGCTTGCTTAAAGTGTCTGAAGTCCGAGTATTCTTACTGGGAAGAGAAGAAGGGAGAGGCATTGACAGATCCATTCAGTCTGGCACTGTGCACGAATGCCCGGCATATGAACTTGGTGTATCGTCTGACCATGAAATTGTCTGGGGGCAGCGGAGGTGAAAAGTAAGTGGGATGAGATGTTTTTCCTTCATTCAAATGATATTTATTAAATTTTAGCAAAGGAGATTGTCAGTGGAGGTAGGCTCAATATCCACCGACAGGACCTTTACAATCCGCTATGCCTTGTGTGAATGCTAACTGCAAAGTGACTGTTAAGGCAGGAACAGTGTCACTCATTAGGTGAGAGAAGTCCTGGCACTGGCAGGAGGAGGGGATGCGTGTGTCCCCACTGGTCAGCGGGCGGCCTAGAGGCTGCACTAAGGGACCTGCGTTTGTGTCTGTGTCTCTTCACCTCTGTCACAGGATCACATTGCGCACTCCTTGTTAGCCTCCCTGGCATTCGCTTGGTTTCCCTAACCAGTAATGCCTTCTGGAACGGAGGGGGGAAAGCAATTACTACAATAATTTTATCTCAAAATTTGTGTACCAGAAAATTAGTCTTGGAGTGAGCTGCTCTTTAAAAGTAAACGAAAATGGGAGGTAAAACTGCATGGTATAATCATACTCAGTTACAGCCCGCAGTAAAGCAAACCAGAAAACTTCCATACTGTGTAGAAATCCCCAACGCTGATAAAGGCCTTAATTAGCCATCCGCAGTAGAAGAATAGCTGCTCGGTCTTTATAAAGTTGTAAGAATTTACTAGACGTTAAAAGACTGTTTCCTGAGATGCCTGAAGGAAGTTGTTGTCACTGGGATAATTCACTCCGTGAGGGGCTCTATGGTGGCCATAATCCAGCTTGGTGATCATCAGAATCTGTTCGGAGGCAGGCTCCTGGAGGCTATCCCACTGGGTACTGGTTCACCTGGGAGGTGGTTCCTTGCCATGGGGAACAGGAAAGCCGACGTGCTGCAGCTCAAATACTTTTCCCTCCAACCAATCAGTTCATCTGGAGCTGAAAAGCCCTCTGCCTCTCCAGAGCCTCTGTCATCCACCCCCGCACCACGTGGTGGATGGAACCTTGCTACCGGGAAGGTCACATTTACTCAGGCGGCTCTGCGCATGTCCGTCTACTAAAGTCCCTCCTTAGCATCCCGAATAGTTTGTGAGGTTCTTTTTTTTTGAGCAGGAACAAACTTTCCCATGAACAAGGTAACTTCTGGAAGGTGCAATACTTTTCCAAGGACCTGATCTTGAACCAGATTTCTCCCTCTGCAGGTGAGTAACTGGGTTAGGTACCTGATCATGCTAATTACGCAGAGCCCCAGTTCAAGCATTTTGGCCTGATTTTTCACCTGGTCTCTATACACTTCTGCATGACTTACTTAACTAACCTGACATTTCATTTGCAGTTAAAAAAAAAAAAAAAAGAATCCAGAGATTCAAATACTTGTATAAAATGAAAAGTATTTGAATTCCTGGGGGTGTGTGTCTACATTTATATCACGCTTAGGCAAGCAATAGTTCCACAAAAACATATGGGGAGCTACTCCTCTGTGAATATCCGAAAGATCCGTTTAGAAACTTCACTAGGGACTTCAGCTCGTCCTTGTACCAAAAATAGCAGTGTGAGCTAGTTCCTGCTGCTTGTCATGAATAGTTATGAGGCAGGAGCGGCTGCTCCATTAAACAACTCTGAGTGCGGGCACAAGCTATACTTAAGCAACAATGAGGGTCCGCTCTCAGACTGACACAGGAAGCAAGCTAAATAACTGCTGTGCGCCACTGCACTGGCACAAAGACAGAATATGATTATATCTTATGAACGGGGACAGTGGAGGGCGGAGGTGAATTCCTCCCTCGACTCCAAACAGGGGTTGTCAGGCCCTGTAGTGGGAAGACAGAAAAACTGCCCCACTGGGCCTTGAGGTGGTAGGGCTGACCATGCTCCCCTTGCTGTGCACTAGCTGTTCCTCTGCATGGAGCACATGCTCTGTCCTCACCGTGGTACCTGGCACTGCGTGTGCGGTGGGCTCCCCCGTTCCTGTGGGATGGCACCGTCTTTACGGCTGGCCCAGTGGCCTGCAGTGGGAACTTCTGGGTCCTTCCCCATTCTCGGCTTGATTCTCTCTCCTCTGCACTTATTACTCTCTCACGTGTATTTAATTGAGTCAATTAAAGATGTTTAATTGATTTATCTTACTCATTGTCTGTCTCTCCCACTGGAACTCACGCTCCACAGGGATACATACTCATCTGCCCACTCTGTGTGTGTCCCTAGGACTTACAACAGTATGTGGCCGAATGAGACACTCAGTAAACACTGATTAAATCAGTCGTGTTGCTAGGGGATGCAGTGAGGGCTGAGCGAGGTGTCCCCAAAGTATTGGGTCTCAACTAAGTTACTTCATCACATTAGCATTGCTTCTACAGTTGGTCACATTTGTTACAACAAAGGGTGATCCTCAAAAAGTATAAGCATTTGTGTTGTGAACCTGTACCAACTTCCCACCATCAGTGTGATCATCATGTACTGCAAACAGGCACTAAAACAAGTAAAAAATTTAAAAAGTGTAACAACTGGTCTTCATAACGGCAATAAGCCTTAAATACAGTTGAAGAAATACATTGGCAGTCTGGAGAAAGGTTGCAAATGTTTTCAGGGTGGAAGTAAAATTGCCTCTTGTGCAATAGAGGGTCTTGCTAAATGTATTAGCTACTAATGAAATACAGTCTTCGACTATCATCCACTTGCCAGATGGCCACTTGGTAAAAATGGCGGTGGTGGGGAAAGCTATGGGGTGTTGACTGGGAGAGGTGTTTTCCCAACTCAGGCCATACATTATCTGCAGTTACTCCAACTAGTTTCTTTACATTGAGGGAGCAAAAATCTAAGTAAGATATCTGCACAGCCCACCCTCCTCCCATAACATGATACAGAGCATTCTTCTGTGGGAAGTAGGGTAGTTGGGAGCATCCAGTGTAACACCTGGGTAGGTGCTTTTGTTATATATAAAAAATATATATATATGCATATCAAAAAAGTGATTATTTTAAGTGCTCAATAAAATGGAAAGCATTTTGGTTTCTTACATGTGTGTATGTGTGTATGTGTGTATGTGGTGACCTTTCTTCTGCCTATAACCGGCTCACATACTGATGCTGAACCTGGGCATTATAAACACATATTGGTGAGTTCCAGTCTCACCTCTTTGGAGGCTGGTGTGTTATTAGGAAAACTTTTCTTGCTTAAACACGGGAAAGGGAAACCTTTCTACGCTGGAGTGATGGGTGAAGGCTCTCCTCTCTGGGGTCTCTGCTGGGGGGAAGTGGAGAGATATCCTGGAGCTCGAGGCCCACTGCACGGTGGGGTGTGGAGTGAGGGGTCCCCGGAAGGGCACTCTGGGGGTCCAGGTGTCTGTCCTGTCCCCAGGCCTTTCCTGTCATGGGCAGCTAATTGTAATGACGGACGCAAGTACTTGGTGGGTTGTGATTGGAAATGAAGTGCTGTATTCGCCTTGCTCACGGGACGGCAGAGCCAGGGACAGCTTGGGCTTTGTTCTCTTTGAGATGAGGTCATTGGGCTGTGGAGTGGAAGGCTGACTTGCTCAGGATCAGAAAATTAGCTGTAGGCCATACTGGGCCCCGAACACAGGCCTGGGGTTCATCTCATGCGCCAGGCTGCTAAGTCCTCAGCCGTGCAGGGGAAAGAGCAGCAGGGATCAGGGACAGTGACATAAGATCTTCTCTGCACTGCTGGAGCCCCCTGACAGGCACTTCCAAGGCACATCAGTGTATTAAGTGACCTATCTTTGGCTGCCCAGCCAGTGAAGCTGTCAAACTTAGATTTAACCAACACTTCACGATCGAAGTCTTTGATTTTGCTTCTAAATTAACCTCACCTATCCAATGAACTTGGAAATTCGCTTCCTTCCCAATCACTTTCACCCTCTGGGGGAAAACCATTTTAGCCCTTTCAAGTACTAGTGATTACAGGTTTCAGTGTTCCTAATTTCACCTTGGCAACTGCCATCTGGGAAGACCATTGTTAAGTCCTGCTGTAGCAACAGGTGGCGCTTCACTGCAGTAATTGCCTTACTAACAAAGAGGACATTTTCTACCGACTGCCTTGCTCCAGGGCTGGAGTGAGGGGCAAGGATTCATTCAAGGACACAGAGAGAAATGGAAAGCCAGTTGTCCTCAGTGAACAAATGTGGAATGCAGCAGAAAGCGGAGACCATGGTTTTGTAGCCTTTGGACAGGGACGTGATTTATGGTCGGGCAGACAGAGGATGTGGCAGGATTGGGAGGGAGGGAACAGGGCGTGGGGTAGGAAAGGAGATTCGGATTCCTCTCCAGTCTGGGAAGCCACAGGAGCCCTGCAGGGCAGATTAGTGAGGGGGACTGAGGGTGGGCACAGGGGCACCAGCCACCAAGGTGAACCGCAGCCATGCCCAGTCTCCAGGGCTGCTGTACATAGCCCTAGGCTGCCTTCCTCACCTCGGCTGTGCTCGTGTGGCAACGGTGATTTTAAGAGGAGCCCAAATTATCAAATTTTGTGTGAAATCCCCTAATTTTAAATACCATAAATTTAAATTCACAGGGTGAATCTGTATGAGAAAATCTGTTTGATTAGGTAGATCAGTTATCATAAACCAAGTGACTCTCGCTTCTTTACTTGTTTTCCAGATATTCTACCAGCTGCGCTTAGCACAAGCACACACCTATCCAGCTATGACGTGTGACCTGTGGCAAAGGCATCCTCTTGCTTTCTTGGTAAACAAGCCCAGATGTTAGGGAGGGCCTCGGACACTGCACGCAGATTTCCCTGTGCATGCTGGAGCTGGTGATGAGGCTTCCATCCTGGAGGAGGCATCTGACCAGCCACTGTGTGTGGGGGTCACTCTTCTGCCCTGCGGATGCCTGCTGTTGGACGCCTCCACAGGGTGTTCACGAGAGCCCAAATCCAAGGCCCCAACACATCTTTTTGTTCCCTCTCATACCTCTTCTCCCAAGGTCACCATGTATGAAAACAAAAGACCTATGTCCTGCCTAAGCATGCCAAAAGACATTACATTCATCGCGTGACTTGGACCAAGTGTTTCGGAGTTATCCTGCTTCCCCCATGGTGTTCTGCCTATGACTCACACTGCCTAAGAGCACAGTGTGCTCAAGTCCTGGGAAAGTAGCCTGGAAACCAGCCGTGCTCGACCTCTACCTCTGTATCCAAGACACTCGTGAGGTGGGCAGGGATCCCCGCAAGTGACACAAAACGCGCTCGATTCACACATGCAGGAGGGGAGGAAGTGAGAGCCAGCTGTCCTCATCAGGTGGCCGGTCAAGCTCACCATCAGAGTCCTGGACCTTTTCCTTACATATTTCCTAGCCTGATTTCTCTATTTAACCTTTCATTTGATCATTATACTGTCTTACAAATGACTAAATATTAGGGAGAAGTAACATGTCGGTGAGAGAATCCACACAAACACATCCCTCATCTAGGAATTTTATAGTGTGGAGGCTGGACATTGTATGGAAATCCAATGATTGACAGAAAGGGACTGGGTGGGAAATAGAACTTGGGGACACAGAAGGGACACTCTCCTCTCTTCCTATCAATGCTCATGCAGCCCCATGGACATTTAGGAGCAAAGCTGTGAAGGATGCACCTTTGTCTTCTACACTTGTGAACCTTCTCTTAGTGACTGCTCTTGACCTTATCTGCTTGACAACTGTGATTGGGGCCCCCACAGTGCAGGCTGCTCCCGATCGGAGGTGACACATGCAGGCTATGACTTTGCAGCTGGACAGCAGAGAGACAAAGGCCACATGGCTGGTGAGGGCTGTCAGGGGCTCAGAAGGCCCATGTGAGCCAAAGACAAAGGCGTCTCTGTCCGCCAGCCTGTTTGTTGCCTTTGCATCAAACATCCCAGTGCATGGTACTTTCCCTGTTGTGGTTCTCTTTGAACTTAGCAAACTGTTAGAAAGAAGGCTGGGCCTCAAAGGCAATATAGCAAAACAAGAGCTATTTTCATAGACTGTGCTCCTCTGTCCCCAGGTTAGCGGGAAACGTCTGTTCTATTGGTCAAGTCTAGCCAATAGGGCAAGACCTATGGCAGGTACAGACTGACAGCGATATGAAAATGTTATTTGGCATCTACATAGCCAACTAGGCATTATATGGATGTTTTGAGGAAAAAATGGAAATTATAGGTTGCAGCAAAATGTGTTACCAGTTTCAAATAGTCATCACCAAAATAATCATCAAGGCAAGATGGAAATTGCTTTTTTTATACATGGGATCCCAGAAGCTGGGTGAAGTTCTTACCTCATGAGCATTTCAGCCAAACTCTTGGCATCTGGGGAAAGAAAGTGAATATTAGTATGTAATAAATAACTTGTTAACATTCACTTAGACATTTAAAACACATTTTCTATGATCAGACTACAACAGTGATTTTTATATATAATTGCATAGCCAGATCACTTCTAACAACCCAGGGTTTATGGATTCCTTATTTCTCCTGCAAAGGACTCTTTTATATCTTTTATTTATTATAGAAAGGTACCATTGCTATCCATGGCCATAAAATTGCAGACATCTATTACAGGTTTTATTACAATCTATTTATTTGTTGCTTCTACAAAACCCAATTTTATTTTCTGTACTCAGAAAGTTAACATTTTGAAAGTAAGTCATCTATGTTGTACAAGCCCACTCTTCACTACCAAAATACCAGAATTAAAAAGATTATGACTCTGTGGATCATTTTGAAATGGCATTTCTATGGCATTTGTCATCCCCCAGGTTGGTCAAATGATTGTATAAATGGAATACCACTGCTTTGAGAACATTTACATGTTTATTTCAAACTCAGAAATGAAATTTCACTTTTATTGTTTGCCTAGATCTGGTTACTGCTCCTAACAACAGAAATCTGCATATAAATATTATAGAAGAAATAAGTCTATTTTTTGGGTGGCATTGTTTTGAAATTCTCATTTCTTTTAAAATATAATTTATGTTTTTTACACATTGTGCCCTAGCAAAAAAGGAATGTTTCCTTCCAACACAAAAGCCTTCATTTTCATTTATTTTTTCACAACTCTCTGAAAAGAGTTGACATGGGAAGTCTTGTTCATAAAAAGAACTTTCTAGAAGCGGATTTGACTAGGAGGAAACTCTATTTTCACCCTGTTCCCAGCTCCATCAACTCCTCCCCAACCTGTGTGCATGGCCCTGTGGTAAAGAAAGGTGTATGCCAGGGCATTTCCATCTCATTCTGGGGCTGATGTGTGAGTGGGATCCATTTCATGTGGGATCAGTGCCCTATTATTGAGGGGTGTGGACGTCAAACCACCCCATGGAGGAGGAGCCCTGAAGGGCTGGGGCCCTGTTCCTCAGTTCAGCCCTGCCACTTCCTGCTGTGACCTCAACAGGGTCCCTGGTTTTGTGCACAGATGGGTTTCGTCTAGGAAACGAAGCAGGTCCTGCCTACTCCACCCACATGGAGAAGCAAAGGAAGCAAAACAGCATTTAATTTCCCAGTTTGTGTCTTTATATTTATCTGCAAAGACAAAGTAAATAGAATGAATTCCTTCTCTTCCTGCATGATTTAACACATATATATTTAACACACACACACACACACACACACACACACACACTGCCAGAAGCTGGGGATTAATTAGCTCCACTTAGCAACCAAACAGTGGCCAGCTACGACAGTACTGGAAGAAAGAGAGATTCCCAGCAGTACACAGGCGACCTCGGCTCACACCTGGAGGTGGAGCGCCGCTCCCATCGCTGCCTTCCTCCCACGCCCAGTGCAAACCTTGGCTACTCTTGGCCCGTCATTGCTCTCTGGTCCTGTGATCTTTGCATTCCGAGTCACACAGGAATAGTGGAGTCCAAGGATCCGCCCTCACTGCACTTCCCTTGCCTCTACTAGTGGGCACCCTCCTTGGGGTCCAGCTCCTCCACAGGCCTGGATGACCAGCCACCTGGTCAACCCTTCTCTGTGCCTGTCCCTCGAGAGTGGGTCCCTTTTCTTTCCATCTTAGTTATTATGCCTTGCTTCATTTCCCTCTGAAGTTTTAAGGAACAGTCCTATTCATGGACACACACTTCTTTCCCCTTTGCATAAGCTGAGGAGCTGGAGTTTTAAAGGACAGGGTGGAGTCTGGCTGGCCAGGGCAGGCTGGGGTGACACTGAGCACGTCCCAGGGACTGGGAGGCTGCTGTTGCTTTAGCACCCCTGGTTCAAGTCCCTTTAATGTCGGCCTGTGCCAGGGGATCATGATGCCCACTGGAGAGATAAGGAAAGGAGGTGCCGGTGCATCCAGCACCCAAGTGGGAATGCAACTCCACCCTCTGAGAGTCGCACGCTTTCTACTACTTCCTTCCTCCCAGAGGGAGCAGGGGTCAAATCCTTAGGGAAAAGGTGTCAGGTTGGCCCATCTGGAAAGAGAAAGCAAGACTGACTCCCGTGTGCAGGAACACAAGCCCCGGGCCTTGGACCTGCGTGGGCAGGGCACTCCTTGGACAGAATTCCTGGGGCTGGGATGAATTTGTCCAGGAAGGAGTGAGGAGGTCAGTTTCCCCAGAAGGAGAAGATGCCAGGGTGGTGGCTGCTGGGGCAGCCGAGGCCTTCCAGGCTCAGGATGTGTGACTCTGTGCCAGGGGCTATAATCTGCAAGCTTTTACCTGGGCCGAGGGGCTGTGGGGAGGGAGGGAATCTGGATGCTGAGACCACCGGATGGCAAGGGCCCAGGTGAAGGCGCGAGGCGTGGATGTGAGGAGGGTGTGTGGGTGGCTCCCTAACATGAAGACAGGACCCGCCAGGTGCAGAGCCCAGCTGGGGTGCAGGGGATGTGGCAGATGGTGTGGACGGTGCACAGGGTCGGGACGAGATGCAGAGGGGGCAGGACAGGAGTGGGCACCCAGCAGGGCAGGGACGCAGTGGTGTGGGTGGAGAGCTGAGACATCTGGCTTCTGAAGGGCAGACACCAGGTCACACTGTTCAGAGACACAATAAGAACCGAGTTTGGCAGAGCCGTCGGCTGGGATGAGAGGACTGGGGGTGGTTTGTGAGGGGCTTGGGGTGATTCATGTCCACACAAGAAGAGTGGGAAGAGAAAAGAGGGAATCTCATCTCAGACATGCTCTTGTTTAGTGGTGAGAAGAGAATCTGAGACAGACCAGTAAAATTTTTCTTTAAAATCTTGGAACCATAGAATCTTTTTTTTTTTTTTTTGGTACCAGGAATCAAACTCAGGACCTCGAGCTTGCCAGGCAGGCGCTGTGCTGCTGAGCTACATAGGCGATGGCCCTGAACCATAGAATCTTAAGGGCAATGAAATCTTTTCAAAGCAACTTCCTGGGATCCTGCCCCAGGGGCTTAGATGGATGTTAGCATAGGCCAGCCTTGGAGGGGTCTAAGCTGGGGTCGTCCGACAGCTCTGGGGATGGCCAATGCTCCTACTAAGTGCCTGCAGAACCGACCTGCCTCACCCCACCATGCGGCCCACAGCAAGCTGCTCCTGTCTTCTCCGCAGCTCAAATCTCACTTTCTAGCCTGCGTCCTCTCCCCTGGCCTCCACAGCTCCGGCCTCTGTTTGCTAAGTGGTTTTGCAGTGCACAGAGGGGGGCAGATCTGAGTCTCATCTTCCTGGGTCATGCCTGTACTTCAAAATTTTCAGAGGGACCTCATTGCAAGCATGCGTGTCGGGCCAGCAGGAACCCCCTGTGCCGGTCCTACTATCTCAGTTGCCTCTCCCTGGTGGCCTCCAACCCACTCTCTGAGTTTCCTTTGCTTGTGACTCTGCAGACACCCCTGTGATGCTGCTCCTGAAAACTCCTCTGCAGATACAGCTCCCTCCATGCACTGCCCATGCCCAGCAGGCTCCTGCTGCTTTGGTTCTCTGGGCTCCCAGGCCCTCTGCACCAGCAGCTGACGTGGCCTCTCTCATCCTGAGTGGTCCCCCGTTTCCATGGTGTCTCTCCCATGGCCCCTTCCTCCGTATCACTTGGGTATCACCTGGTCTCAGCAGACAGGAAGCTGCACACAGATTTACTGTGAGAAGCACCTTCCTTCGCTGTCGTTGGAGTCCCTGGTGTCCTCTGCCTGTCCACGCTGCCACCTCCTGGAGTCGTCTACCAGCTGTCCCAGCATCACCCTGCTGCCTTCCCCTCACTTGGCTTCCGCTTCCTTCCTTCCTGGGTGACAGTTGCTAATCTGCCAACCACTTCCTGCCTAGCGTAATTTCCAGATAAAGCCTTGCTTGGGATTTTCTTCCATGAAAGATCTGTGATTTCTTATTATCCTTCTTCAGCGGGGCTGAGCACAGACACCGGCAGTGTTTGATATTCTAGTTCTCGCTGTCCTCCTCGCCCACGAGTGCGAGCGCAGTGCCCGTGGTGTGTGCCGCAAATGAGTCTTTACAACCGAGACGGGAGAGTTTACGAGGACCCTCGTTAGATTTCATCTTCTTCGTTCCAGCCTTTCTAAGTCTCCTGTTTGCTCTCCTCCCTCTAATCCTGTGGCCTGCCCGCACAGCAGAGCCACTGTGGGACTGGAGCAGCCACCGGGGTTTCAGCCGCAGCCGGGCTCCCCGCTCCTCAGCACCCCAGAACGCAGAGCTGCGCTCACGCAGGCTCAGCTAGTGCTGTCCCTCCTGAGTGCTCATGAGCACCCAGCATCCACGAGGTCCACAGTCTAGCCTTGCACAGTTTAGTATTGTCTTCTCCTAGCACCTCCAACGAGCCTCGGTTTAGGGATCACCCACACAGGTCTTACGGTTCTGTCTGGGAAAATTCTGTCCAGAAATCTATGTGGGTGCCCTTTAGGGTCATTTCCCAGGGCCTGAGAAAGCCGGGACACCTCTCCCGATATTTCTAGTGGTGACTGGGGGTGTGGGGCCGTATCTTTCCCTTCTGTGCAACATCACAGCAGCTGCTGGTGTCGACACTGGGCCACTTATCGTCTGGAACTTGTGTTACTGCTGTCCGTCAACACTGCAAAAAGCAACACGTCCCTCTCCCGCTGATGATGGCCAGTACCTAGGAGGCTGGTGGCTACTACTTAGGAGGCTTGGAAGGAATAAAACAGCTTCACGAGGACTCTATTTTATCAAGCACTTGGAGCTCTCGCTCCCTCTTTCTCTCCCTCTGTCCCTGCCTTTCTTCTGATCATTCCGGGCTCACGTTCTGCTTGGAGCAGCACCTTTCCTGGTGCACATCGAGCCAAGTACATGCAGCGTGCTCTCCCTTCCGCCTGCTGTCTCTTCCCTAGGAAATGTCCAGACCTCGCTCTTCTGTCCAGGCACAGTTGTAGGGCCCCCTCAGCTCCTGTTTCCC